CACACACACACACACACACACACACACACTCTTCCTGTCGCCACACCCTCTTTGAATTACTTTTTCTTCTTTTTTTCCCCTAACTTTTTCCCTCATTTTTTGGACCATTTCTCGATTTATTTGTGTCATCCTTGTGCAGGGGCCATGCTAATCTTCTTTTTCTGTATCGTTCCATTTTTTAACGGATGTCTCGAAGGACCCCTCTTTGAATTACTATATTTAAGAAAAGTCCAAACCTTCTCGTTTCCCATCTCCAATTGCCCGCCTCAGTTCCTTCTCCATTTTCGCAGTGGTTGATGTTTTGTTCGTTTCGGCGACGGTTCGGGTGGTCTTGTTGTGTCAATGGTGCAGATCTGAGTGTGACAGCACTTGCAGAGAAGTGTCCCCGGCTACGAGCTTTGGGGCTCCACTGCTGCCGTAACATCACCGACGTTTCGATAAATGCACTTGTGAATAGCAACGTGGCGCGGATGCGGTTGGCGCACTCAGCGAGTTTGATGAGACGCAGGTTTATCCGCCAGTGCAGCTTCGGACATACTGGTCTGCACAGCAGTGGTGGTCCCCAAAGCCCGCGATGGGCCGCTGGCACGTCTTCGTCCACACGAGCTATTGAAGGCGGCGGTGGCAGTGATGTGGGCAACTGGGCGCATTCAGGTCTCACTTCGTCCTCCTTTCCACCTGGAGGATCGCAGTGTCCAAGGCATAATGGCTATGGAGAACGGGCGGGGTCGCAGGGCAGAGATAGTCCTACAGAGGATGTAGCAGACACGGATGCAGAAGCCTTCGGTCTTGTCTCTCTCAACCTGAGTGGGTGTATATCTCTGCATGCTTCTGCAGTCCAGAAACTGTGTGATGTGTTCCCCGCACTCCATACGTGCGAAAAACGGTCACTGAACGTCAGCGGATGCTTGAGCCTCACTAACGTGCACTGCCGATGCGTCTCCGATGTCCGCCGATCTCGTGGTCGGGGCTTTACCAGACTCTTTGCGAGGACGGGAAATCGCCCACTGTAGAGGAACGTGTTTGCTGTGCCAGTCGTAAATGGTGAAGAAAGAAAGAATTCCGTGCAGTTCTGCTCCCTTCATATGGCTCCTTGATCAGCGGACGTCGTGAAGGCAGGTAGGGGTTGGGCAGAATCCTCTCCCGCAAACGTCCTAACTAGTCTGCATCTGTGAAGACGTCGTCTGTGAGGCCGGGATATCGCCCTCTGTAGAGGAACGTGGTGCTGCAAGCCGTAAATGACGAAGATTCCCAAAGAAAGAAAGAATTGCACGCAGTTCTGCTCCCTTGATATCGCTCCTTAATCTGCGGAGGTCGTGGAGGCAGGGGTTGGCCAGAATCCTCTCCCGCCGACGTCCTAACTAGTCTGCATCTGTTAAGAAGTTGTCTGCCACAAGATAACGGTCGTGGGAACCATGGGGAAGGAGGGGAGACATCGGCCGGTCGCGTGTGTGGGTGTCGTCATGGACGGCACTTTGGCAGTCCAGTACTTTCTCGCCAATTGCGTGCTTCGCAGAAGCTGTTGCCTGTAACCGGGGGAGAATCAGCCATCTTCTTCTTCTTCAGACCAATCTTTCCGACATTAACATACCCGACAAGAGGTACCAGTTTCCGCAACTTTGAAGAGGGGGTCAGGCCTCAGAACACGGCTGCTTTCCCTCCCCTCCCACAGGAGGAAACCCCTCATCGACAGATGTTGGATGCTACCGTCTTTCCCAGAATAGAACGTACGGTCATTATAGCGGTATTTAGCTCTCACCTTAGATTCCAGATGCAGCCGAAATGACTGTACGTTCTATTCGGGGAAAGAAGGTAGTCTCTACGGGAAGTGAACAGGCTGTTGAAAGGCAGCAGGAGAGTAGACGAGGAACCATTGAATCTGTTTTGGAAAACTGGCGGCGAACCTCTCCGTAATGTTGTATGTTTCTATCCCTGCGCCTTCCCCACATGCTGGAAAAAGTGAAAGGAAACAGGGCGGAAGCAGGCCATGATAACATAGGCGCAGAGTATAGTTGCGTTACGCATGCAGACGGGAAGACCGCATCAACCACATACTGGAAAAAGTGAAAGGAAACGGGGCGGAAGCAGGCCATGATAACATAGGCGCAGAGTATAGTTGCGCTACGAATGCAGACGGGAAGAGACCACATCAAGTAGCTCAAAATTTTGCTGATCGGCTTCTCCTAGGATGGCAATGCTCAGAGAGAGAGAGAGAGAGACAGACAGACAGACAGACAGAGAGGCAGAGAGACAGACAGACAGAGACAGGCCGACAGACAGACAGGCAGACAGAGCGCATACGACTGTGGGGCGTGAGAGTACGTGCATGGTAGCAGAGAGGACAAACCTCAGAGAGAGAGAGAGAGAGAGCGTATGAACATAAGTGTGGACATTGTTCGGATCGGGATCTCAAAAGATGAATGTAGACAATGGAGGATCAGTGGGCTAACTGTAATCGACAGCCGTCATTGGGATCCCAATGATGGCCATCGCGCAACGGAGGTGCCGCAGCAAAGGGGAAGATCATGGGCGAAGAAAATATAGTGGTGACTCTGTTTTCTTTGCAGCGACCAAACAATGAGAAGACGCAACCTGTCTGAGAGCGCAGGCGCTGCAGCGAAGGGGAAGATGCGGAGGATCTGCTGAATTGATGAGACAATGAGGTTCAATGAGGGAATCTGCTGACCAGCAAGAATCACGACAACCACTGCCACAGCTGGTTCTGCCAAGCATCTGCGTATATGGTGATGAAGGCATGGCGACAATCAAGGGTGGAACCGGAAATGGGGTGGGACGGGGAACGGGGTGGGATCAAGGGAGGAATGATGTATGATACAAATGCATTAGTGGCATACGTGATAGCGGCAATGTCTCGGGAACACGGTGGGACCGGTTTACAGGTTCATTCGGGACCAGCGTTGTACCAGGCGGACAGCATTGCACATGCAAACGCACGGAGCACACGGAACCTGCGGACAGCGTGTTTGTGCCAGGACCAGATCAGATTGTCAAGTCAATCAAGGGAGTAGGGAAACACTGTAGATACGGAAAGCCATACTGTAGGTAAGGAAGACAGTTGCTAGAACATTCCAGTGTGTTTACCATTCTAGTGTGTTACCATTCTAGTGTGTGATCGCTTTTATCTTTTCGTTTTGTTTTGTTTTGTTTTGTTTTGTTTCGTTTTGTTTTGTTTTGGTGGAAGTTAAAACATCTGCTGGGAGCGAGAACCGTTTGCATGCTGCCTACTGTCGTCCCCCGAACATAACGCACCATGAAAATGAACGTATACAAGGTATGTTTCCGGCCCGGTACAGTCAAAAAGAGGGTACATTGTGTCTGGGGGAAGACAGTAGCAGCACTGCATCAAAGAGAGCTTTTTGAACATGGTCATAGGCTGGATGTGGTATCTTTCGATGTTTTCGTGTGGTACCTTTCGATGTTATCGTGTGGTACCTTTCGATGTCATTGGAGAGAGAGAGTTTCGATGTCATTGGAGAGAGAGAGAGAGAGAGAGAGAGAGAGAGAGAGAGAGAGAGAGAGAGAGAGAGAGAGAGAGAGAGTGGTACGGAAGGAAGGGTGCAGGGAGACCCAGAGAGAGCGAAAGCTGTTAACTGCAGGGCTGTTTTGCACCTCTGTTTGTACAGGAGTGTCATTCGATGCTCGTTTAAGACAGAAAAGGGGAGGGGGACGAAGAGGAGAATGCAGTGAGGGCGGGATGGGACCTTGTAGGCATTACACCTCAGTTTGTACAGGAGTGTCATTTGATGCTTGTTTAAGACAAAGGAGGAGGAGGAGGAGGACGACGACGACGACAAGGAGGAAGAGGAGAATGCAGTGAGGGCGGGATGGGACGTCTAGATATCCCCCCTCAGTTTGTATAGGAGTGTCGTTTGATGCTCGTGTAAGACAGACAGTAGGAAACGGAGGAACCGGAGGAAGAGGAGGAAGAGGAGAATGCAGTGAGAGGCCGGGGTGGAACCGCGACCCCCCAGTTTGTACAGGAGTTTCTTTTGATGATCGCTAAAACGACAAAGAGGAAGAGGAGGAAGAGGAGAACCTCGTAGGCATTACCCTCTTGTTGTCTAGCAGCCTATGTAAGACAGAAACGACAAGGAGGAAGAGGAGGAGGAAGAGGAGGAAGAGGAGAACCTCACAGGCATTACCCTCTTGCTGTCTAGCAGCCTATGTATGCCTGAGAAGGAAGAAGGGTGGAAAAGAGGCCAGGAAGCGGCAGTCCGTTTTTTTGTGACGGCTAAAGCGAGCTCTGTTTTTACAGCAGCAGGAATCCGACAACACGAGTGGAAGAAGAGGTGGATGGTTAGAATGGTTGCATAATCAGAGCAGCAATCCGACAACATGAGTGGGAGAAGAGGCGGATGGTTAAATGGTTGGACTACGCAGAAAGGTGCCGACAAGACGTTGTGCCGATCGCAGCAAAGGTTCACTCGTATAGAGAGTATCATATCAACCATGTGGGTAAGAGAGAGATCGTGGATGGGGAAGGGGAAAGGGAGAAGCAGGTGGTAGTATCTTGATAATCTAGTACCGGTTCGATCACCTGTTCTGCGGAACAGATGCATGATATCAGTGTGCATGCGGCATGCAAGTATGAGAGAGAGAGAGAGAGGGATGCAGAAGAGAGATGGGAGATGAGGAATGGGGAGAGATCTCAGAAAGAGTTGGTGGATGCAGAAGAGAGATGGGAGATGAGCAATGGGGATGATGGATCTAGAAAGGGACGGGAAGAAGCAGGTGGTGTACACCATGATAATCATAGTACGTGTTCAATCACCTGTTCTGCGGAACATATGCATTGTTTCACTGTGCATGCCACATGCAAGTGGGCGAGAGAGAAGAGTGGATGGGGAAGAGAGATGGACGGTCTGGAAAGGACAAGAAGAAGCAGGTGGCGTATCACTATCATCGTAGTACCGGTTCAATCACCTGTTCTGTGAAACAGAAGCATTATATCACTGTGCATGCCGCATGCAAGTATGAGAGGGAGAGGGAGGGAGGGAGGGAGGGAGGGAGGGAGAGAGAGGGAGAGAGAGAGAGAGAGAGAGAGAGAGAGAGAGAGAGAGAGAGAGAGAGAGAGAGAGAGAGGTGGATGGTGAAGAAAGATGGTGAATCTGGAAAGGGATGGGAGGAAGCAGGTTGCGTATCGTGATAGTCATAGTTCCGTATCGATCACTCGTTCTGCGGAATACGTGTGTTATTTCAGCGGGCATGCTGCAAGCAAGTGTGCGAGAGAGGATGGAGGTGGTAGCATGTGAAGAAGAAAAAGACGACAAAGCAGAGACAGAGAGGAGTCTGTGCTTGGACAGGATGGTAGCTGGTGAAGTTGGGAGGTACTCAGAAGTTCTCGGCACTCACATGCCTTTCTGCTTGACGTGACGTGGGCCGCCATCTTGTGGTTTTCTTGCACATGCAATGCCAAAGTGGATGATGGAGCGATCAAGGCCCATGCACCCTGGACTTTGTGGGACTAGCCTTAGTGCAGGCGTGCCTCAGCGCAGAGCGCAGAGCAGCAGGCAGACCAGTGCAACCTGGCCGGCCTTTAGCTCTACTGAGCGGCATGACACTGGGCTCTTGAGCTGTTGTAGGAGGGTACTAGCAGTGGTACAGGCTTGCCTCAGCTCAAGTGCCGAGCAGCTGGCCAGTGCGACCCGCTGGGCTCTCGAGCTGGTGCGGAAGGGCGAACGGGTCTCTGTTACGATGGAAAGGGGTATGCATCAGATGGGACCGAGGCATCGATGGAACAAGGGGGCAGTTGGGAGGGGAAAATATGGTCCACTTCTGCGAATGATCGATTTTGAAGTTGCTCCTGACAATGTCTCCAGCGAGTCGGCGACTTCTTGAACACAAATGACCATCTTCGACTATTCCGTCTACAGGCGGGTCCTCTGTGACGCGTTTCTGTGCCAGCCACTCAAGCCAGGGTGTGATTTTTTTTGTTTCTTTATTTCTTTTTTTTTAGCTCATCAGGGATGTGGACTGTCTGCGGAGGTGCGCATCAGGGTCTTGAAACTGGCCTCAAAAATGTGTAGGAAGGAAGCGCGGGCGAAGACATCATGCGGCGGATCGCGCGCGAAGATCTCATGCGGCGGATCGCGCACGAAGATATCATGCGGCGGATGTACAGGGACTCAGTGGCAAATATAGAAAGTAGCAGCGAATGTAGAGAGTAGTACCGAGGAATGTATAGAGTAGTACCGAGGAATGTATAGAGTAGTACCGAGGAATGTATAGAGTAGGATCGGCGAGTGTATTAGGGATCATTTGGCTACGTACAGCTGGGGGTGACGCCAGGAGTAGTCATTTGTAGAGAAGCAACAGGGAATGTATAGAGAGGTGGTCGCGAATGTATACAGAAGTATCGGCGACTGTAAAGCGAAATATCGCCTCACGGCTGCAAGTGTAAGGCGTACAGCGC